ACTGATAAGTATGTGTTAGAGTGGGAGCACTGGGATAACTGATAAGTATGTGTTAGAGTGGGAGCACTGGGATAACTGATAAGTATGTGTTAGAGTGGGAGCACTGGAATAACTGATAAGTATGTGTTAGAGTGGGAGCACTGGGATAACTGATAAGTATATGTTAGAGTGGGAGCACTGGGATAACTGATAAGTATATGTTAGAGTGGGATTACTATGATTCTAGTTTATCCGGCCATCTTTCTCATAAAAACAGTTATTGTTGTTATCAGTATGGATGGAAGCTTGTGAGACTTTAATTATCAGCTTCAAATCCTTGTTTATTATCTTGTTCGCAGTATTAGCAGGTATGCTCAGCTTTATGGCAATGACTTTTTGGGTCGGAAGGTTCTGGCCTTCATTACGCGAGTGAAGGCGTTGCTCCCGATTGTTTTGGGGATGTGGTTTCAGAGTTCATTGCTGTCGTAATCGCTATATTACTGGAGTTTTTATCCCGATTCCATGGAGAACACTGAAGAATACTTTCTTTGAATTGTTGTCCAACAATCTAATATACGAATATAACACCCTTCCTTGAAAAGAATTGTGACATATTTCTCCTACCATATATCTATTCACGATCAGGAATTTGTCACGATTCAGACGTATAAATGCTACACTTGATGCCCATGGTGTCATGGCGGTTTGCATCTGCGACGACATGTCACAGCATTAGTTTTATAAATCGTTCTTATAAAATCCAATTAACCATCTATAAACTTATATATCCATTGGGCTACAATATATCACGAGATGTTCCTTAATTGTGTTTTTAAGTGAGTTCCAAGTTAGTAATGATGCATCGCTTGACCATTTTCTGCAAATATTTTCATTTGACATTGAAGATATATATACATATAGATTTGTAAAATAATAATATTTTCATTTGACATTGAAGATATATATACATATAGATTTGTAAAATAATAATATTTTCATTTGACATTGAAGATATATATATATACATATAGATTTGTAAAATAATAATATTTTCATTTGACATTGAAGATATATATATATAGATTTGTAAAATAATAATATTTTCTTTTCCCTCACAGCTGATGAAGTGGTACCATCTCTTTGCTCTGTTTTGGTTCACTCAGTTTGTCATATCTTGTCAACACGTTGTCATAGCAGGTGCCGTTGCCACGTGGTTTTTCACAAGGTCTGTTTCAATAGCTTTTCCTATCGATTCAGAAAACATTAGATTATAGAGTGAATAACAATATAACTTATTTCATTTTTTATTTGAAGCGTTATTTATCATAATACACCACTAAAACGGTATTATCCAATATTGAGAACTTCCATTAATTCAGTGTGATATCTATATTTTTCTTCGTTAAGTTCACTAATAGATAAATTATTGTTTTTAAAACGTTATTAAACGAAAAATAATTTAAAATATGTACAAACAATAGCCTTTAAAACTTATGATTTCATACCGAAATAAACACCTTGCATTTTATTCAAGCCCTAACACGAAAGTTCTTTTCTAACAAAATTGAACCCCCAAAGTTTCATACTGAAGTCATACATTTCAAGAATTTGGGCGAATCAGGATTTAAAATAATAACCAACTAATACATACATTAAACTTTTGACTGCCAGAGGGCATGATGATATAGGTAGTACATTTAAGTCATATTGTATGTGATGAGCACGCAGATAGTTCATGATAAATCCACGAGAGGGTAATGTAGATCAGAAACATCACCATGTTTGAACATACGATTAGGTCATCAACTTTATAGCTTCTTACTCTAGTTACAATCAAAACCTTAAAATTTTTTATTGTTTTTAAAACGTTATTAAACTAAAAAATATTTTAAAATATGTACAAACGATAGCCTTTAAAACTTATGATTTGTTTAGGATTTTGGTACTCAGTGATTACATTCGACATGGAAGCACTTCTTTGTAATATCTAAACCACATAGTTTACAGTGATTTACTCTTTTAGATATTGGTGTCTTTTACGATAAAAGTTTCGAGTAAATTCCGTAAAACTTCAAAAAATAAACAGTATGTTAATTGAAAACTTTGTAACATTAGTAGTATTTGTAATAGTAGTTTTACCGGTAATGTATTGCTGTTTTTTAGGGATAAAAAGAAACTAAGTACACCCATCCTTACAAGTCTGTACAACTTGATTCGTTACCATTTGGGTTCTGTTGCTTTGGGATCTTTTGTTGTTGCGCTGCTTAAACTGATCCGAGCGATCTTCAAGTGTTTGGAACGACAGTAAGTATATTCGGATTATATATATACATATATTATGACACACACACGTACATATATAGTTAGATTTTATAATTTTCTTCCTTTTTTTCTATAATTCGTAACAGCTCTATGTGCTAAGAGTATTTCAAGTTGATCTGCTAGTGTTTGTCAAAACTAATTTTAAAGAAGTCAGAGAAAAGAGAGAACCTCTTATTAATATAAATTTTTGTACCACTTATAGTGTTCTGAGTTCGTTTCTATGCAAAACAAGAGTCAGGTGGTCTATTTTTCAGTTGTATAGAAAAGAGAAGGAAATACAGTGTGTTCTCAAAAGTTTGAACAACACCATAAAGACGAAACTGATAGTGAAGCTTGCAAGGTTCCCAACTAATGTGGTATTTGGAAAAGTACCATTTTAATATTTCTCTTACCTTAGAACGGTAAACTGTTTAGTTACTGAGAGTTTTCAAATATGCGCACTTTCAGTTCACTTACAGACATCCACATATGTTCTATTGAGAAGACTGAATTTATATAAAGTTACGTTTAAAGGTGGTCGGAATAAGAATATCGAAATGAGTACGTAAACTTGTACACGTTTTCTTATGATAAACAGGTGTTGTAAACTGATTATATAATCTGCTGATTTGAAAGGGCAATTTACCCTTTTTTTTCAGTTTCACAAGTAAAATTGATGTTAGGGTGTTTTGAATTTAAATAATCCATCTGTTCTGGCTACCTCTCTCTTCATACCGAAATAAACACCTGGCATTTAATTCAAGCCCTAACACGAAAGTTCTTTTCTAACAGAATTGAACCCCCAAAGAAACCATTTACTGTAGACAAATACCCATTAAGACTGATCGTCCTTTTTTAAGGTAAACAAAGTTTCATATTGAAGTCATAGATTTCAAGAATAATTAAAACTTTTTATCCACAAGTTCAATTACAAATGATATTTAAATCACCTTTCAAGATTCAAAATCTATTCAGATCTAAAGACGTATTACCTACCCTTGTCACGTTGCAGAATCGTGTATAATTACACAAGCGGTGGCTTTAATATTACTTACATTGGAAAAACTATTCGCCAAGTACACCTGCGAACCTATGGGAGTATCAAGTAGAACTGGTAAACAACTATCAAATCCTCCAGACTCCGTAATTAGCACACATAATGAAAACAACAACCGCCCCATCTCGATTACAAATTCTAAAGTCATCTCATCTGGATCGTCCAATATTAAACTTTTAATTAAAGAACCTTTATTTATTATAAATGAACTCCAAATTTTAAATAATAGGACAACATCGCTGGAATTAAATCTGTTTGGAATAACTTGTATAATATGGTTATAATTGTTGCACTATCTCTTTGTTCTTGCTTTTGTTTTTTGTAATTGACCCCATCCTTTTACTCTGTATTTTAATTCCTCTTTACAAAATGTTGGAACTTTAGAAATTCTTATACCTAATATTTTACCTTGTTCAATGTAGCTTGCTGAAGATGGAATATATCTATATTCCGAAGCGTTCAAGAATTAAATGTTTGGTACTGTTCACACACGTGCCAAATGTTTGTTGTTGATGCCGTCGTACTATTGTTCATCATTAAACTTCGATTCCCGTCGAATGAATCTGTTGCTAATCTTAGAATTATTTTTAGAGCATTCACAGATATTTCGAGAACAGTTAAGAATTCAAACTTCTTTTTCTGTCACTCAGAAGCGCTATCTGACGTAATTTGCATTTGTCTTTTGACTTTTGTTTCATAAATAAAGATTAATTTTACTTTGTTTAAGATTTTGCTTATACAGTCTCTTTTCTTCAACTCAGTTAAGTAAAAGTTCTAGCTTTAACTCTGTAATAATTATCCTGGCAGTTCCTCCTGTTATTTGCGGCTACTATCCAAACAGTAAATCAGTGAATCAGAGGATACCATACAAAGATATTTGGACGTTTTAATCTCATCATCACAAAAAAGCCTGTCTTTATTCGTGTCAAGAATGTGTGGATTGATCAAACGACATGTTGGCAAATATCTTATGACAGATGAATCATGCTTCATATTGCAACCAAATGTATAAGACTTACACATATTTTGTGAGCTCTGGATCAGATCCAACCACCAGTTTCACGGAAGAAAGACACGTCTATGATAGTGGTGGCATACTGGTATGGGAAATGATCAGTACTAGTGGCCACATTAACCCTTATGTTCAAAGACGTGGCATTGTGAAGGCATATGATGTAGGGAAGCAGTCATGCAAGCGTAAGTGTCACTATATGCAAGTGCAGTTGGTTAGATGTTTTTTTTTTCTGATGGATGATAACACACATCTCCACCGTACTCAACCGTTTAGCAACTTCCTGGAAGAGAAGATATCGAGCGAATGGATTGGCCAGTACGCTCACCAGACTTCGATCTGATGAAACACGTATTAGATGATCTAAGAAGACGCTTTTCAGCAAACGATTCATCTTCAGCTAGTGATGGTTAACTGGATGCAGCTTTGATAAAGGAAGGAGCCATATTACATTAGAATCTCATTGACTCACTCATTCTGAGGTATCACGTATATGGACAACTTCTTTAGTGTCTGACGTGGTCAAGAACTTCATTAATAAACGTTTTCTAATCATTTCTTGGACTGAAAAATTCTTAGTATCAATTGAATGTTTATGGGTATAGAATCAAGTAGTAGATATTTGCATACCAAGTCACATGACTGGTCACCTGACACTTGCTTTGTATAAACATCAACTCAGGGACACCATTTACATTATCTAATAACGGTATTTGTACCTTGTCATAGCTAGATTGTAGAAACTGTAATTAGCTCTTGCTTATTTTGAAAGAAATGTATTCTGTAAAGTTCTAACGAGAAAAATGAGGTTCTAATAACATTTTACTTCACTTTAGATTAGGATCATAATTTTAGATAAATCTCTCATGTACGATCACGTTAAGAAGGCGATGATACAGCAATCTTTAAAAGTGAATAGGCCCGGCATGGCCAGGTGGCTAGGGCACTCATCTCACAATTTGAGGGTCGCGGGTTCGAATCCCTGTCCCACCAAACTTGCTCGCCCTTTCAGCCGTGAGGGTGTTATAATGTGACGGTCAATCCCACTTGGTTTACATATATTCTACACTTTAATTCACTGTCATGATTTCCATATAAAGATATGGAAAAACAAGACAGTGGATTAAAGTGTAGAAAATATGGAAATCATGACAGTGAATTAAAGTGTAGAAAATATGTAAAACCAAGGCAGTGAATTAAAGTGTAGAAAATACATTTTAATCCACTGCTTTGATATGATTACGTGGTAACAAAGAACATAATTAATACTTTTCTCATATTACGTTTAGATCAGTGAGGATTGACGAATTAAAATTATAAGAAGAAATAGGTATTTTTTCAGTTGATTTCAAATATATATATACACACACAAGAAGTTATATGTGCGTAATTTATTACAATTTCAGTTAAGTGAATTCGTTGTTTTATTCAAGTTCACATTGTGTCTAAAGTCGGTTTATATATTTAATACCATATGTAATATACTGTTCACGTATTCTGGTACCGTTTAAGTTACCTTTCTCTCACTATATACCACGTACGTTCTTGTGTATTTAGTATAATCTATTACTTTTCCGTGTTTCTGCGGTCATTTTGCAGCATGAAGAAACATCCAACATGGTGTAACACAGCCATTAAATGTTGCAGCTGCTGTCTGTGGTGTTTTGAAAAGTTCTTGATCTTTTTGAACCGAAATGCCTTTATTGAAATAGGTAAGCTTTTCACTCCAGATTCAGCTTTCTTTTTGGATGTACTGAAGAATTAAAGCGAAAAACTTTTTAAAACATTGTATTTTTGCTACTTATTAATGCCATCCTGTTTATTTTCATTTGTTTTTTATTTAATATCTAACAGAAATTTATAAGTGGTTAATATTTCGTGTTGTAACTTGCAATGCACATTCTTAAATATTTTGTTACATTGCGAATTTGAAATTCAGGATTTCTTGAGCTTAATGCTATCAAAGGTATAAAAATGCATAAAATTATTTTATTTAAAAAAAATTAAAAACCTAAAAACTAAAGAAAAACATTTCGTCCAATTAGTGAACTGAATTTTTTAAGTGGAAATGGGTATACGTATAGCCGATTTTTATATTAATAGAATATTAACATTTTTACTTTAATTGACCTACCGTACAAGGATAATAGGTTTATCGTCCTAAGCCTCGTGCATGGGTTAGTTCATTATTTTGGTGACGTAACATTCTCATCATAATCGCATTAAACTTTTAGAAAAATCATAGGAAATGTTAGTTTCAACTCATTTATCATTTCACATCATCATTAAAAACAGGGTATTAAAGTATCTAGATACCCACGAAAAAAATGTTATGTAATTTTGTGTATTAGTTAAAATATGTCGTGCAATATTATGAAATATTTCTAGCTTTATTGAGTAGAGTTTAATTGTGTTAAGAGCTGACTAGTAGATCTAACAATTAGAGTAAAACACTTTTAGAGCTTATTTAGGAACAATATGGATTATTCAGCAAAGTGCCTTCACTCATAGAGACTTGACCTTAAGAAGAACCACAAATTTCAAAGTAGCTATATTTTTGTACTACAACTTAATGATAAAATATATAATACAGACATTAGAACACGTTATTTGCATAGTTTTTAATCCTTAGCCAGGCAACGTTGTTCCTAAATGCTGGAGCTCTAAGAAGGTTAGCTCAATAGTTAAAATGAGGGCTTTTAACGCCAGAAAATCGGGTTTCCATACCCATGGTTGGCAAAGCACAGACAGCCCAGTGGTTGAGAACAAAATAAACAATCTATTTTAACGATTTACATATCCGGTCACCCTTGCCTCCTCGCCATCACCCCTGACTAAACAAGTTAAATCTTGACTCTCTTATTGCAAATCTAGAAGGTTTACATTACAGAACTTTCCAATACAAAGTTTTCCTATTCCGCGATTCTAAAAGCTTGCAAGACAAGAAATTTTAGCGGTGTGAAGAAAGGAATATTTGTAGTTTTAACTATACCGGTAAAACAAGGTAAACAAAAACCGGCTACCAGTCACACACCGAAAGTAGAGAATAAAGTTAAACAGCATATTTCTAGAAGTAACCTAAAAACATTGTAGTTCACTGCAGTTTAAGTAGACACCTCTCTTGTGGCGTTAAGCAAGATAGTATACACGAATTTAGGTCTACAAAAGCGATGCAAGAGTCGTATTCACACACTTTTCTTAGAGGACATAGCAGAGCGCCAGACCATCTGCTTAAAGCTGTATTAGTGTTAGCTGACATGCGATATACAGATGTATGACGTCACATTGAACAAAGTATCTGCAAAGTTCACATCATTTATTACCATTCTGCTAGTGATATAACATTTCAACAATGTCACATAGCATGTCGTAGAGGTTTATTCAAGGGTTGATTGTGGTATATTAAATACTCGGATGCTTGAGAAAAACGCCAAGGTGAACGTTGCATATTATTAAGATAACTTGCTAATAACACTATATAAAGAGGAAATGCCATCTTTTTTTACCGACTCAATAACAATTAAGACAAAGAATCCAGACACACAGGCCCAAAACAATATTCCAGTTTTTCTGAAAGTTACGAGTGCTAACGGGAATTCATGACGTACCACTTACAAACATCTTCCATGGAATTCATGACATACCACTTACAAACATCTCCCATGGAATTCATGACGTACCATTTACAAACATCTTCCATGGAATTCATGACATACCACTTACAAACATCTTCCATGGAATTCATGACATAGCACTTACAAACATCTTCCATGGAATTCATGACATACCACTTAGATATCTCTCATGGAATTCATGATGTACCATTTACAAACATCTTCCATGGAATTCATGACATACCACTTACAAACATCTTCCATGGAATTCATGACATAGCACTTACAAACATCTTCCATGGAATTCATGACACACCACTTAGATATCTCCCATGGAATTCATGACGTACCATTTACAAACATCTTCCATGGAATTCATGACATACCACTTACAGAAATCTCCCATGGACGTTTGTGTCTTTGAATTCCTAAATGGGATCCTCAAACTTCTTTACCCATGCACGGTTCATGGAATTTGGGAAACATGTAAAGGTGATTTGGAACAACATTTACCCCACTGTATTGCGCAAAAGCTTGTTGGATTGCAAATTATGCTGTATAACAATAGTCTATAAACAGAACCATCGCAATAGTGCGAAAAAAACCAAGTCTCTAAAGTCTAGGCATTCATATTTGTATCATTACTATAGATTTGAACACCCTTTTATACACTATAAGAGTTTATGAGTGAAAGTAAAGAAGAATACATTATGTCAACTACACTACATCTCTTATATCCAGTACCGATGAGGCCTCTTTTGCTCAATGCCAGGCTTCATCAGGCCAGCTGGGATGCGACAGATATAGTAGTGGTTCAGACGCTATTTATATCATCAATTGCTTGAACAACATTTTTTTCAGTGTGGACTAGATTAAGTTGGCGAACTGTAATACTGAATTTCACAACAATTAACCAATTATGATCGAAATTATTGGATATGAAGACCATTCTATCATGAGCGTAGTTTTATAGAAAGAAGTTTAAGCCTAAAAAGTTCTCATTTTTATCTCCGTACCGTCCATATATTTAGTTGTTATAATTATGTGCTATAATTTTGATGATTTAAATTCTCCCAATCTGTCTTCTTCTAGCAATATATGGCTACCCATTCTGTAAAGCAGCACAGAAAGCTTTCCACCTTCTGTCGAACAACATACTACGGGTGGCAGCCATAAATTCTGTTGGAGATTTCGTCCTGCTTCTTGGCAAAGCTGGCGTTACCGTGGCAACCGCTTTTATTGGACTAGAACTTATAAAGGTATATTTTTTCGTCGTATCAGCCTCACAAATAATAAAAAAGCGTGTGGAAATGGTAGAAACATACATGATTTAATTAGTTTCTGAACATTTTGCAGTATGCTTTTAGCCCAACATTTGTTAGCATTAATAGTAACAACTCTAAACTACAGTAACATCGGCCATTACAGTACTACCAATTAGACTTATTAGAATAACTGAAGAACATGGTTCTGGAGTATTTTTTTACATACAATATTAATATAATTTATATATATGATGTTTTTAGTTCTCTTTTATTTATTTAATTTTAGCATTATGGTAATCTATTATTCACCAGTTAGATCTAGTATTTAACATATAGTTTTATAAATTTTATTATGAAATATAGTAGTCAACATTAGGTAATGAAATCTACATGACCAGCTCGAGACTAACATGGCTTAGTGGTTAGCATGTTGGCTTTGCGAATGGAAGGTCCAAGGTTCGACCCCACGATACACTGCTTGACCATTCTGCAATTTCAGCTGTGTGGAGCATTATAACTGTGAAAGTCAAATTCGGTTAGGGGTAACTGCATAGGCGGCATGTGTTACTGACTGGTTTCCCTCCCTGCTTTCAGCAGTTCTAACATAGGGATGTTATGCCCGAACCTTGGGGTCTTTGACTTGGCTAATTTACCCATGTCTCGCATAATGTATCTTTCGGACTGAAAATACCAAATACGAACCAAGATAGCAGTTTCAAATGCTATCACACCAAACATGCTCGCCCTTTCAGCCGTGGGGGCGTTATAATGTGACGGTCAATCCCACTATTCGTTGGTAAAAGAGTAGCCCAAGAGTTGACGGTGGATGGTGATGACTAGCTGCCTTCCCTCTAATCTTACACTGCTAAATTAGGGACGGCTAGCGCAGATAGCCCTCATGTAGCTTTGCGCGAAATTCAAAAATAAACAAATTCTGTCAACTCACACCAACTCAGCTAAGTCAAAAGTCATTTGATTAGATGAAGTTACGTATCAGAAGTAATTTACATTCTGTAAAGTAATTTACATCTTTACATTTTGTCGTTGCAGTGCTTTAAGGCTACCCTGTTAAATATAGTATTGCTGTTATTTTACCTTTTGATTCTAAGTACAAATAGCATAATGGTATTGATCATTTAACTTAGAAACAAAATGATCATTTAATTAAGCACAGAATATTGGAGAAGTTTAAAAATATAATACTTAGATAGTGTATGTAATGTATTTCTTAACATTTACGTTTCAATTTTAGGATAAACCCGGAGTGAACTACACGTGGGTTCCTGTAACAGTCGCATGTATCTTCGCCTTTCTTGTTTCTCATTGTTTCCTGGGGATTTACGAGGTAATGTCACTTATCATTTATGAAATTCGATATTATGTGGAACGTTCTACACAGTTAAATTTTACCAATGTTGAAAATGTCAGCTATCAGTTTACATAAGTTGCAATGTTTTGCATTTGAAAAATATGTAGTGGAGAAGTAATTAGCTCATCGTAATTTAAATTTTAAATGTTTCGTCATCAACATTCTTATGAATATAGAAATATCTGTACGAGTAGTTCTTATACTCGTGCATTTTAATTTTCCTGATTTTCCAATGAAAAGTCGTGTCTAGAATTTCATGTTGGTCCCAGTTTACGATATGGCCTGTTTTGTGATTATGTTTTCTGCCAGTGGTGATTTTTTTGGATGTATTAATCTTGTTGTGTCCTTATATTATCTTAGTATTTGCTTGTTAGTTTGACCAATTTCTTCAATTTATGTATTTTCACATGAACATAGTATTTTATGGGTTAGTTATTTTTGTTTTAATTCTTGTTGGGTCGTTTCACTTGCATTAGGATGTTTTTTCCAGACGTGAAAAAATATTTTAACATTGAACTTGTGGCATAACCTATTTGAGTTTTTCACCTATCTTATGGATTTATGATAGATTGTTAAGACTGGGAACTCTTCTTTCTTCTTGGAGACTGAGATGAAGCTGGTAGGGTAACTGTTATATTCCAGAAATTCTCTTGTCATTGGGTTATATTTGTACAAATAGTATCTTTCGCTCTTAAAGACAATTCCAGAATCTCTGTAAGAGGAAAGGAAAGCTTAGCTCTGTGGTTCGATATTGTGAAATTAATATCATTAATAGAAAAAAAAAAGAGGTTTATGGAGCTCAATGCAAGCTGTACTTTTACGAAGTTAATTTTCTTCATTAAGTCCCAGTGATATAGTTCCCAGCAAATTTTATTGTTAAGTTTTAGTTACACGAATTTACTCTTATTAGGTGTTTTATAGGTGTTGTTTGAAAGCAGGTGTGTTTATTTGATAGACAGCTGGACTTGCTACAGAAAATAATATTGCTGTTATTGTTGTTGTCATCAGGATAAATAAAACGTGTCCGAGAACGATACATGTTGTATAAGAGTTTATGCAGGAAAATGTATCTTAATTGTGATTTAAAGGAAAAACTGTTTTCAAGGCCATGGAAAATATAATCCTTGTGATGATCCTCTTTCTCTATTAAAGATGGCTATCGACACCTTGTTTCTGTGCTTCTGCGAGGACTGCGAGAGGAACGATGGAATAAACAAGCCTTACTACATGAGTCGAAGTTTGATGGTAAGTTGTGCTTTTCGTGAACATTCTGTATACCAATGGAGATAGGTCATATAATCATACAAATAAAAGAGGGGGGTACTAGATTAGACACTATGAAAGAAGAAATAATTTTACTCATAAGCGAAAATATGTATTTTGTCTGAGTCAAAAGTTCTGTTTTTGGTATTGTTGTGCAGTAGGTGTAGGATATGGCAAATCTGCTGACATGGGGTGATTTGATACCTGACATTATGTCATGATACAAACGTCAAATCAAGGTCATCCAAATGCTATCTCTGAAACTATCAGTCTGATATATCAAAGCAAAAGTTGTAGCATACAAGGATATTACTACAAAAACGTTGTTTTCCTTACAAGTTTCGCAAATATTTGCACAATTTTATAATATTTTCGATTTAATAAATTTTGAATTTCTTGAGGATTTATCATTAGCATCTTACCAGAGGATGTGGTTTCAGTTCGATGATGCACCACCTATTTTGATGCCCGTGTCATCAACTAATTAAATGAAGTTAAATTTATGTAAACCAACGTTTACCAACTTACCAGTGTTCTATAATTAACTAATTAAATGAAGTTAAATTTATGTAAACCAACGTTTACCAACTTACCAGTGTTCTATAACAAGACATTAACAGGGAGCCGTTTTTGCAGCTGATTTGTAAGGTTTTGTGACTGAAGTTGTTGAGGATTTACCGTTAGCATCTTACCAGAGGATGTGGTTTTAGCTCGATGGTGCACCACTTAATTTTGATGCCCGTGTCATCAATTAGTTAAATGAAATTTTTCCAGGACAATAGATTGGAAGAGCCCTGCCACTCTTGGGCTATACGATCTTCAAACCTAACAACATTGGATTTCTTCTTGTGAGGTTACATCAAAGAACGGGTATATGCCACGCTTACAACTCTGTAAGATCAGCAAAAACAACTTCGTGTGACATGTGCAGAAATTCCTGTGAAACTCTTTGCAAAGGCTCAACAGTACATAAAAAATCGTACACAAGTATGTATTTCTGCAGAAGATCTACACATTAAATATATTTTGTAAGTTAAATTGACTTAGTAGAAGTACATACTGTATCTTTATATATTACATTATGTACTTAGGTGAGCAAATTTGGATAAACAGGTAATTTTTATGTGGTAATATCGTTGTGCTCTACAACTTTTGTATCGACATATTTTACCTCAGACTGCTATTTTCACAGATAGTATTAGGACTATCTTAATTTGATCTTTATATCATGACTTCACGTCAGGTAGTAAATGACCTCATATGTGTCTAATCACTCTATGCTAACAAATGTTTGATATTGCATACCTACTTCTCAACAATAGGAAAAATTGAGAGTTTTGACTCAACCTGAATACCAAACTAAAAATACGGTATTTTTTAAATTTCTGTGATGTTTTTAGCCATTTGTTTCATCAATCTTTCGTATTTCTGTAGACCATTTGCTCAAAACCTTTTGTTTGTTTAAGCGCAAAATTGAACAGTATGCTGTCTGCACTCATTTTAGGAAGAGAACCTCGAATCTTAACGTCAAAAGCCCTCAAGGTTACTGCTGAGTTACCAGGGATATGTTTTCTAGTAATTGTATGAATCATTATGAAAAATTATCAACCAAAATATTAAGATTCAAATTAAACCTCTACCATTACAAATACATATAAAACATATGAAATGTTGTATTGATATTTAGTTCTCAAACTCAAAACCTATCTACATTATTCCATTACTAGTGTAAAAGGGAATATTCAGATAGAGGAATAGAAAAGGTTATAGAAACAACTACAATTACTCCATTTATCATCTTCTGTTTGGATCAAGAAATTTAATTCATTGTATTCATCACGTTCATCTTTTTTTGTATATGTTTAGAATGGTGTTATGTATTTCTTCTTTTATAAAACGAAAATAAAATCATACGTATAGCGAGATAAATTTTTAACTGTGTCACTTTGTGTCATAAGAAGTGAAAATAATGTAATACACCTGCATTCTATTATTATTCTATCTCCTTAGGTTTTTGTTGAGGACAGTAAAAAGGCTTTAGAAGCTGAATGCATTCTATTATTATTCTATCTCCTTAGGTTTTTGTTGAGGACAATAAAAAGGCTTTAGAAGCTGAATGCATTCTATTATTATTCTATCTCCTTAGGTTTTTGTTGAGGACAGTAAAAAGGCTTTAGAAACTGAATATATTCTATTATTATTCTATCTCCTTAGGTTTTTGTTGAGGACAGTAAAAAGGTTTTAGAAGCTGAAAAAAATCGAAGAAATCAAGGAGGTTGAATTATCGTCACGGTTCTCAGCTGGATCTGGAACTATTTACTTGGTTTTTGAAGAGTTTATTTATTGTGTTTTACGATAACAGATTTCTCTACTGATGATAATTATCTTGCAATCCCATATAACTGTATTATAAAAGGTTGTTTGAAGAATTAAACGGTTTGTAGAATATGTTAATAACTTGAATATTTTATTAAGAGTTGTTTTATAGGCCAACTAATATTTATAAGATTATAATATTAAGCATGAGTGATAAATACTGCTTTTTTTGTATTTAGATGTTGGTGGAATCGTAATGGATTGTGAAACTTGGTTTGTCAACGTTAATTACAATTTGTTTGATGTCTGTAAAAATTAAGCCAAACGCTTTCACATTCTTGTTATATATTCAACTATGATAGTGTTACGTCTCTGGTCATTTGTTAATTTCCGATATAAATTCTTCCCGAGAAACTTCAGCGATACAAATCCTTTCTTAAATAAAACTAGTTTATTATTTCTCAATACAACTTTGCAATACACAGAATTTCCACAGTCACTTTTACTTCAACACACGCTATAATTCACAACGATTCACGCACAATTTTATTACGGTCACTACCGCTCGCTTGACTCAGTTATCTGTCTGTATCTCTATATATATGCAATTATTTGCCGGGCTTATATACTGAAATAGAGGGCACCTAGAAAAGACTAGAGTTGCCAGGAAAAGTCAAGATCCTTTGAGAATCTCATGACGTGTTACCAGCGTCACGTGACTTCCGCTGTCGTAACAACAGTTATCCTCTAACAAGAGCGAGATTCTTGGATTTCCTAATTGTGGCATCTATAATGAAGCCTGAAATAATGGATAAACTTAATAAAATATTAACTAATTTGAAGTGTAACAAGAGAAGGGTTTATATACTCATTTTTTCATCGCTAAGTGACTTGGAGTTCTAGCTTCCAACTAGTAATATTAACTTTAAGGAAGAAGGTATTATTGGCCTTCATGCCAACCTACAATCAAATTACTTTTGAATTGTTAAAAGATTAACAAAACACTTAGTTTAACAAACGTTAAATTTCATTAAAGATAAAATTTCGGAATCTTTTCTTTTCTGCAGTTAATGTCTAAATAAGGAATTAAACAATACTCTGGCTTCCAGCAACTACCGTTATGTTGTTTGGACAAAAAATTATATGTGCCTTTATACGTTTTTACTTCTACTATTACAACTTACAACTGATTCAGTGCTGTGTTATAAAAAAAAAAATTACTGACTTTCGTTTAAGGTGACCAAATCAGGTTTGTCACACCCTCAACACCTATAGAATTATTTATTGACTACATAAAAGGAGAAGGTTAGTAACGCTTTTCGTAATTAACATAATCTATTATCTGTTGTAAAAGGGGGCGTGCTATAGGATTCTTTGTATCCCAAAAGTAATTTATGGAAGGAAAGGTTGAAAAGTATGATGGAACTCAAGAAAACGGTTAATAAATTTACTAATTTTCGGCATCTAACATGTAGAGTTGAATATGAAAAATAACTTGAAATATGAAACACCTCTGTTCATATTAGTTTAAGAACTTTATACTATTATTATTAACAGAGCTGTATAGTCGTGATGTATATCAGTTCTGGCAGGAGTCTTGGTTTAAAAATACTCGTACTCTGTAAAAATATTCGCTATCCAGTGTGTAGTTGTGTTGATGAGAGCTTATATAGTTCACACCTTTAAGTCTCAGGTAGTCATAGTCTGATATTATCAGAAAATATATTGCATATTTCCACATGTACTGCTATAAGGTGGTCAAAACCTGACAATTTTTAACTGGAAAAATGAATTACCTAAAAGATTATTTTTTACGAAAGAGTACAAAGTTATATGTATAAGTAAAATTTCCACTAAAATAACTTAACTGTATAATTATTGTTTTTTTGTTTGTTTTTTAAGTTAAGCACAAAGCTACACAATGGGTTATCTGTGCTCTGCCCACCACGGGTATCGCAACCCGGATTCTAGCGTTATAAGTCCGCAGACATACCGCTGTGCTACTGGGGGCCTGTATAATTATAGTGACACCAATATTTAGGGATGTTTTTTTTTGTTCTCCTATAACTTTATCCAATAGGTGTTATTTATTGGATTTTCTTTATTAGTTCACCCAATACGTGGGGTGATTTTAAACGGAATGATAGTCATGCAATACTTATATTCACATACAAGTATCTCATGCCTGTGGAAAACTCATTCCATTTAAAATTGCCCCCACATATTGAGTTTTCATTAAAGTTATTTTTTACCTGGTGAATTTTGTAAAAATAACGCCAGACCGCTATAGATAAATGTCTCCTCTTATTGAATATCACCCCCTATTTATTTAAGATTTATCACGAAATCCTTCTTTTATATATATATATATTTTTCGATATCAATCTATGTGTTTTTAACAGCTGTTTTTATACTCTGATAAAACAGTGTCATCTAGCGGCATTTAACATTACTGATTTGTTGTTTGTTTGTAAAAAGCGAAAGACAAATCTGTAAATATAAGTTACTTTTTCATGTGGTATTCTTTGAAAGTTGATTCAGATTTTTTAATTCGCAAACCCTGAACATAATAAATAAATAAATATAAATATATATATATACATATAACATTCGGATTGTGACTAAGATTTCACATCTGAATATTAATAATATAAAAATAACAAAATATCTAAAAGCAAGTTTCAAGATAAAATAACATTTCAGGTATGTTTAAAATTTTTAGGAAAAATTTATAAATTCGTAAATGGGTTAAGACTGTTATATAACTTATTTGTGACGATTTCTCTTTTCGGGTATTTTGTTTCACTATTTTGCCACTAGTTTATTTCGATTTCACGATCTTTGCCATGTGTGTTAACTCACCAAGTAATTTAATTGCTCATTTTGTTCACATCATCGTGAACGTATTTAAAGCAATATATGTATACAGTTTGTATTTCATTGTATAATAGAAGTGTATCATTAAAGCCTACAACGCTGTGAAAATAATTAAGAATTGTTCATGCTTTTTATCAGAAACTCTTGAGCGATGAAAGAGTTTTTCTGTCGATGTTATATATGTTATAAACCGTTTCGCTGTAATCAACAACAAAGATATAAATAAGAAAGAAAGAGTAACGTTATAGTACATGATGTTTTTAATTCATACAATATGGCGTTTCTGTTTCTTATTGATCTATTTCGATTTTAGCGTGAAAGGGCTTTTTGTGTAAATATAATTAACAACAGATTTTAATTACAAGAATAACAACGTCAAAAGATATATTATCTTACAAATAACATGAAAACGACATACCTGTAACAGCCAGTAAAAAGTCTTCGAAACCTTTATGAGCTAGTTACTCATCTTAGTATTTCATCAGAAACCTGAATCTTCGCCAGAAGTCAAAACTTTTGCAGCACTTTATGTTAAGTTTTGGCAACAGAGGTAGAAAAAAAAAATCTTTACTACAGGTAATAAAATAAAACTTTTAATATCTGCCAATTATTATCTGGAGAATAAGGCTAGTTTTTCTAATTTTATTGACAAAATGTCTAAATTCCTCTAGTATGAACTACAAATTATGAAAAAACAACATCATATTTAGGGATTATTCGTATTATCTCAGAACTCATTTGCCAAATCAAAATATCAAGAATGCCATTGTTTTAAATTTGAGCAGGAAAATATAAATTCCCAGAGAACGATTACTAGTATATGGCGTTCTGAAGAACACATGTGTAATAAAATAACGATAAAACGAAGGAACTCGCAATTTGCCACATTTCTCATTTTTACAGCTACATAGAAGTCGTAGATGATTTGGCAATTTAAATAACTTGTCAGAAGTTAATTTTCAAAGAAGTATGAATTAAAAACCTATGGTAACGTGTGATTTTCCGTAGTGCTTACTTTATTCCGCACGAGGGCATAAGGAGCACAAAACATATTATAACGGACGTGTACATCTAATTAACTGACTTAAGTGAAACTGCTAAAGTTTCAATAATAACGAAATTTGCTCTTTAGCATGTTATCGCTCTTATTAGACACTAAAACTCCTTAAGCCAGCTGTTTAATTTATCACAAGATGTTTTTTTTTTATTTCACACAAGCGCGACATCTATTGTCAATAATATTCTCTTTAAAGTTTTCAGACTGACACACATAAAATAGCTTTTCACGAAACTAGGCAAGGTTAAAGTATAAAGTTACCGGACACACTACATTAAAAGGCGGTTTGAAAAACACTGCTTATATAACTTGATAATAAAAACTAAAATCTATAAAGAAATGTTATAAACCGAATCCATACGTTTTGACATCATCGATGTTTTCTTTAGTGGCTACCAATATATTTTTTTACAAGAAATTAACGCTTATTGTGTGATATTCGATGGGTATGTCTCTCTTGGACCGAGCGCGGTTCAATGTTTAGCATGACGGACAGTGGAATCGAAGTCCCACGTGTCCCGCTCCCCCCCCCTCCCCCAAAAAAATTACGATCACCGTGGGTGCGTTGTAAGAGCGACAGCCAAATTTTGCTATTCGGTCTGACAAGAGTAGCGTGAGTTGTGTTGAATAACTGCCTTCCCTCTAGTTTATCACTTTAAAATTAGGGACGACTATGGCATATAACACTCATGTAGCTTTGTGCGAAGTTAATAGACAAAGTCTGTGCTGATATTGCTGTTTACGTGGAAGTTATCTTCACAAATATACCTCGATTTACGGAATTTACATTCAAAGTTATGGTTATACTTGGCAATAATTTGAAACTTTTTCCAAACAGGGAGATGAATGATCCTCCTATAAAATGTGATAGGCTAAGGAAGAATCATTCTGTCGTCCATATTTAATATAATTATTATGTTTTATTGTTATTGCAGAAAAAGCACGTGCTGTTTCCCTTCACATTTATTACAAGGAATACAGTAAATACCATATGTGCATTTTCTAAGAAGGGATATAGTCTTTTGGATGAACTAATGTATTCTTCAGTGTCTTAACTGGTTTGAAAGTAGTACAAATATATATGCAATATTTAAGTGTCGTTTAAGTTGTTCCGATAGTCTCCTAACGTAAGGGAGTGGTAGTAGCGATTAGATTTAGTTTATAACTAGTTACCGAATTAATAACCACCATACTCATCTTTAGCCTTACTTAGTACAACTACTCCATGAACGCCTAGGTGTAACTCTAGTTACCGAATTTGGTTCAGAACCAAGTTTTCCTTTGGTTCATTTTTAAAGTTTTTTTTCGATATCCATTAGTTTTTTTTGTATTAAACGTTGGTTTTAATTATTGTTTTCCTCAGAATTATACAGAGTTGAGTATGTTATATTAAAACTATTTTAAATATGCAAATAAGGTCGCGGTGGAATGGAATTTATGAGAATTATATTTTGACCCTGTTTAAAGTTTCGTAAATAGTGTAATAACACCAA